TTTTTTTCCCCTTTTTTTGGGGGGGGGGGGGGGGGGATGTGCACACAGTTACTGAAAGCAAATTTGAATAGTTTTAGTTTTAGTTAATGAGATAACAGATAACAGCAATGGTCATGCAGCAGCGCTAGTTTGTGTGTGGAGTAGTACCCAAGAAATAGAGAATGAAATGTAGAGAAAGAAAGTAGCGATATAAAACCTGTTTGAAGGACGAGAGCAGAAAAGCTCCTTGAAGTAGTCAGATAAGGCCTGGAGGAATGTAGTTTGACTGTACAGAGTTACATGTTTCATGTTATATCAGATAACTCTGGTTGTGCTCTTATCAACTACATACATGTACTGTGTGTGTGTGAAACGGGGTTATTGCCCTCTTCAAAGCTCGCATGTACTAGGAAATGATTGAGTTCACAACAGCTAATATAATTTGGTCAAGGACGTGACTTTCTGAGATTCAGGAGCATCTAATGACACAAACACTGTGTGTGAATACAGAAGATGTCAAGGCAAGCATCACTATTATTATTATTTGTACTTGAAGAAGCCTCTAATTCTTTGACACATAACTCATCAACGCACCACTTTTGCTGCAGATTTATGATATGATCAGGCAGCTTGATGATGATTTCCAGGGCTAGAAAAGTAATGGAGAATTACTCAAATATTAAAAGTTCAAAATATACATTTTTGTAATTATGCTCAGCTAGAAAGAATCGACTCTGAACTGCTGAATTATTGATGGGCATTAATACAAGTACATTCATCTGTTTGCCATATGTCTACTTAATGTGCTATTCTCAGGTTGTGATCCCTAAAATGCTTGTGTAAATGTAAGAACTACTTACATTTTTACATTTATTTATTTAACAGATCACTTTATAAGTCGCTTTTATCCAAAGTGACTTACAAATGAGGGATGTACTTCCTTAAACTGCTAATGAAATATCTTGTTTAGAAATATAGACCATTTTTATTTTGTGTGGTGTAGTGGTGTAGTGATATAAAACTATAATGTAGTCAACAAAACTGGAAGTACTTTATATAAATGAATGAATGCCTTTAGAACATGTCAACCAATCAGAATTAAGAATTCAACTACAACAACTTTTCAAATGGAACATTTTTGGGAATCCTTTCTTGTGTTTTTCAGATGTGTGGTGTTCAATAACAGAGGAGTATCGGGTGAAAAGTTACTGGTAAAGATATCCTTTTATCTCTGTTTTCTTCAGTAATTTAAACCAAAATGTTGTCATGTTAAGCTTTGGCAGAAGCAACACACACATGAATATCAGTTGTTCAAATTGAAGTTATGTAATATTTGTTGTGCAAACAAGCTTTGTATACAAGAGCCTGTCGATAAATCCTTTGCTCTGACTCATGAACTTTGTTGGAATTTAGATGATCATGTTTTTTCCGTCCAGCAGAAGAAGCTTAAAATCCCTGCTGTAATACTCATGTCAGAGAGCTAGTAATAAAATGTTTGAAGTTGAAATGTGTTGAGAGAATGTGTTTATTAAAGCTTTGCAGATGCATAATATTGTCCCATTGAAATATATGTAATTGTAAGAAAAATACATAATATTTAGTCATGTTTTTAGTACTTAAAGCACAAGAATAATTTTTATTCAGTTGAAATAAGAGACTCTCAACACACAACTTTAAACAATCAGTAAATCTCATGAGCATGCTTGATCCTTAGAGTCAAATTCACATAAGGTTGTGAGATTCCCTGAGTATAAATACAGATCTCTGGTGTGTGTTTGTGTGTCTGTGGTTCTCTTATATCCTCTGCTCACTGTGCTCTAGACGCCTAGGACGTACTGCGCAGCGAACACAGAGGATCTGGAGGTGGTCATTGAACATGTCCAGCGGACCATTGACAAAGCTCCGCTCATGGCGGCTGGGGTTTCAATGGGCGGGTGAGTTTCACACACACACACACACACACACACACACACACAGGGATTTATCCTGCCCTTAAATGGGAATTCAGTTGCTATGATCACACACCAGGACACTCTAGCAGTGTTTTTTCCACTGATCCGAACTGTACAGTGCCTTTAATTAAATAGAGAGTCAGCATGCAAATACTCCACCATTCAAAAGTTTGGGGTCTCCTCTGCTCACCAAGGCTGCATTTATTTCTTAAAAAATACAGTAAAACAGTAATCTTGTGAAATATTTTTACAATGTAAAATAAGTGTTTTGTAGTTGAATACTGTATATTTTAAATGATAAAACGGAGAGTTCCGGTCCTTGATTCTGATTGGTTGTTTCAGCATCATTACTCCAGTCTTCAGTGTCACATGATCCTTCAGAAATCATTCTAATATGCTGATTTGTTGATCAAGAAGCATTTATTATTATTATCAATGCTGAAATCAGTTGTGCTGCTTCATATTATTGTGGAAACTGTGACTGTGATTTCTGTGAAGCGAGAAACACAGACAAAATCATGAAATCCACTAATAAAGTAATCAAATCGTGATTAGTGTTTGTGATTACTAAGCCACGAAAAGACTGTTATTGAAATATGAAGCCTCCATGCATCTATGTGAATAAGCGCTGGAGTTTCACCTACACACATACTACACTTCGTTAATATTTCATCTATTACGAAGGAAACAAACCCATACACAACAGAAAAATTGCTGTTATATTAAAATGTTCATTCCTGACAGGTATTATAAAGTGTCCCCAATTCATGCTTTGTTCATGCATTTATTTCCCCGTCATGTGATGCAGATGACATTTCATTTCCCAGATCCTCACAGCGTCATTTCACCCTAAATTTATACCTGGTTCTAAGTAAAAGCTGAGTCGGCAGCATGGCGCTCTAAACCACTCTGTCTTACAGAAAGAAAAGGGTCAGCTTCACACGACTTATGTACAAAAAACTAGCAGCCATACATATACACAGTGGTGTCCAAAATTATTAGAACCAGCTAAAAAAATGGTTTTAAGTCAGCTATTTCTATCTTTTGCTGTAGTGTGTCAGTAGGAGATATCAGTTTACATTTCCAAACATTCATTTTGCCATTAAATGTAATAATCCTGTGAGATTTTTGTCTGACAGCAGCCAGTGCTCCACACAGAGATCTGATCTTAAAACCATTTTTAGCTGGTGAAAATACTAGTGTTCTAATCATTTTGGCCACCACTCTATGTGTGTGTGTTATTGGATATGTTAGACGCTATATGTCGTAGCTGCTGTAGTAAATGTCATATCTTGACACCCTGCAGGATGATGCTGGCGAACTATCTGGGTCGGAAGGGCTCTGAGGTGCATCTGAAGGGAGTGGTGGTTTTCTCGGCAGGCTGGGATGTGTTTGAGGGCACGGCTTCACTGGAAAAGCCCCTGGACCGCTTCCTCTTCAACTCCTACCTCACCAGCTGCCTGCAGGCATCCGTGGACCGGTCAGTGGGGTCAGAGGGGGATAAACCGGGCGTAATTCACCACAGTTTAGTGTCTGTGTGTGTGTAGTCCCATCGCAGAGGACATTGTCCTCGACTGCCCCCCTTTTTGGGTTTGATCTCTTGTTGAGTGTTACCAAATGTGCCAAATAAGATTAAACGGAATTTGTTACGTACAGTATTTTGCTGAAGTACACCGAGTTTCAGAACAGGACGTTGAAATTAAACTTTGCACATATGGAGCTTACTCTTCTTTTAATTAACTCTTAAGCCGCTTATCAGCAACTTACAAAAAATGCTATGGTGGTACCATGCTACAGTTGTGTTTGATACAGTATATACCATGATACTACTAAACGGCTGCCTGAAATAGAACACTAGTGTACTACTCTTACTATATCTGTAGTATGCAGTATGCTGTGCACAGTATGCACATTTCTGCTTGCATATAATAACCATGACCATCTATGTTTGCAAAAAAAAGCACACTACACTGATCAACTTGACCTGCCATTTGCAGTGTTATGGATCAATCAGAATTAATAACAACAACTAATTTGACATCTCTTTCATTTAATTGGGCAGCTAAAAGCTAACACATTTTGACACAAAATGAAATTAAAAATGCTAAACAATTTTCGTCAGGGATAACAACTTGCACTGTTACTTTTGTAACATTTGGCGAGCAAGTGATGTAATGATACATTTCTCCAAATCTGTTCCCATAAAGAAACAAACTCCTCTACATCTTGGATGGTCTGGGGGAGAGTACATTTTCAGCAAATTGTCATTTTTGGGTGAACTATTCCTTTAATTATAAAGCATGTCACTATTATGAATAGAGTTCTTGTTTACATAAAGATGATCCCAAACCGCCAAAACCTGACATTTTTCTTTTTTCTTTTTGCAGTCACAGAATCATTCTTGAAAAGAAATATGACATAGACCACGTGATGAAGGTGAGTCAGTCATTCTGACTTGCACAATATCGTGTCACATTTGTCACATGCTGTTAATGTAATATTTAGTAATATTGCTTGCATTCCACAGGCTAAAACAATCCGAGAGTTTGATGAACGTTTCACATCCATCATGTTCGGCTATCCATCCAATGACGACTACTATCGAGACGCGAGCCCCATTCACAAGATCAAGTCTGTGCAGGTGCCAATGCTGTGCCTCAACGCAGCAGACGATGTCTTTTCCCCCAATCATGGTGAGTCGGCCAGATTTATTAGGGCTGCGGAAAATGTGACATTTAAGTTTAGGGCTGAAGTGAAAGAAACTTCAATTTGGCCCAGCCAGTTGAAAAGGTCATGACTTTATCCCATCCAAGTTGAGCTAAAAACGGTCTTTCTTCTTCTTCAGCCTTTCCAGTGGAGGCGGTGAAGCAGAACCCCAATGTGGCCCTGCTCATCACCTGTCACGGGGGCCATATTGGCTTCCTGGAGGGTCTGTGGCCACGGCAGAGCACCTACATGGACCGAGTCTTTCGCCAGTTCACCAGTGCCGTGTTTGAGAACGCCAGCAGTCTGGATGGTCTCCACTGACCTTCTCTTTCCATTCCCTCTACAGCCATGAGCAAAAAAATCTGGATACATTTCCAAAAATGAAGTGCACAGGTTCACTTGAGGGCCAGGATTGTATTTTTGTTTTCGTTTTTTTATTATAAGCACATTTGTGCGGAGCCCCGCACATGACATGCAAGAAAAAATAAATAAATTGTGCGCACGATTTACTCATTCGGTCCCTCGATGTACTAAAACGTGCACACGATTACTATTTCGTTCACTCGATTTGCTAAATCGTTCGCACAATTTACTAATTCGTTCTCTCGATTTATAAATCGTGTGCACGATTTAGTAAATCGAGGGAACGAATTAGTAAATCGTGCGCACAATTTATAAATCGAGGGAACGAAACAGTAAATCGTGCGAACGATTAAGCCTACTATTTTTTTCCTGCATGCCATGTGCGGGGCTCCATACATTTGCATTCATGGAACAGAAAGTCTTAGAAATTCTCGCACGTTCCATCCGCTCATCCATCCATCCATTGATGCACTTATTTGTTTCCTAATTGCATGTCTGTGTATGACTCGCTATAGTTTTTTTAGTATTTCTAAATGTGATTTAAGTAAACATCCACCTGGACCACTGAATCACTCATTAGGTGATGTTACTCAACATGAATCCACATGAAGATGAGATTGTCCAGAAAAACAACAAGCCTTGAAACCTACCGGGACGATGTCACAAAGAAATGGCCAGGTTCACCACTAAATCCAAAAAAAAAAAAAGATGTGAAAAATCAGCATTACTTTCATGTTCTTCAGTGGGTAGATAAATATTTTAGGCCATTTTGGTTTTAAGACCTTGAACCTCCACACAAGGCTAATGAAAATAGATGAGAGTTTGCTTAAATGTTGTGTTCCAGTCACGTGTGCACTATTTAGTAAATCGAGGGAACGAATTAGTAAATCGTGCGCACAATTTATAAATCGAGGGAACGAAACAGTAAATCGTGCGAACGATTAAGCCTACTATTTTTTTCCTGCATGCCATGTGCGGGGCTCCATACATTTGCATTCATGGAACAGAAAGTCTTAGAAATTCTCGCACGTTCCATCCGCTCATCCATCCATCCATTGATGCACTTATTTGTTTCCTAATTGCATGTCTGTGTATGACTCGCTATAGTTTTTTTAGTATTTCTAAATGTGATTTAAGTAAACATCCACCTGGACCACTGAATCACTCATTAGGTGATGTTACTCAACATGAATCCACATGAAGATGAGATTGTCCAGAAAAACAACAAGCCTTGAAACCTACCGGGACGATGTCACAAAGAAATGGCCAGGTTCACCACTAAATCCAAAAAAAAAAAAAGATGTGAAAAATCAGCATTACTTTCATGTTCTTCAGTGGGTAGATAAATATTTTAGGCCATTTTGGTTTTAAGACCTTGAACCTCCACACAAGGCTAATGAAAATAGATGAGAGTTTGCTTAAATGTTGTGTTCCAGTCATTTTGACCTGGATTCTTTTTCCCGAAAAGTTATTAATTTTAAAAGTTAGTTAATGTTATCACGTTGGACTAAAATTAGCTGACTTTGCTCACACAGGATATAATAACTTCCTTAAATATTTTGATAATTTTTATGCGTTTTGGGTTTTTTTCCCCCACTTGTGGTGCCTACAAAAATTGCTTATAAATATCTTGTTATGCTATGTTGTTGCCAAATATTGGATTCAATCTTTTTATCATCAGTACAGTTTTTGCATTTACTTTTGGAACCGATTGATCATAGGCATTATTGATCTGAGCTTATGCACCTTTTTTTTTTTTTGTGAACTTTTTTTTTTTACTCAAAACCTGAGGTGCATAAGCTCTGAACAATGAGGCCTACAATCAGTCGGTTCCAAAAAGAAATACCAAACCTGTGCTAATTGAAAGCAAACAAGCTGACAAAAAAGATTAAATCCAATATTTCATGATAATATTTTATAATGACATGTTTCCAAGCAATTTAAAAGGCTGTTCATTTTTTGACTGGGAACACTAAATTAGGTAAAGCATTTTCAACACAGAACAAGGGTTAATTGTCATGGAAATAATACAAAAAAGGTCAGTTTCTTTATGCAAAGTACCTGGAGATGTTTTATGAGATTTTGTCAAATTGCACTACTGTAGAAATGGTTGTACCCGAGAATGTTGCAGGGCGTTTGTGCACTTGTTTTGTGCAAGTCTGAAAATTTGTTGCAGAGACTTTACCTAATCTTCTAATAATGATCCAAGATGCTGTAAAACCACGTCCAAGCAAAGAGGTCACAGTCCAGCAACACATTCTCCTTCTCATTCATTGGTTACCAGTTCAACCTATAACATGTCCGTGGCCAGTTATCTTCAGCAACTGATGTGCTGCATCCAGGCCTTATCGTTTCAGTCCCTTATAGTGTTAAGAAAGGAAGATTTCACTATTATTGTCTATTATTGTCATTATTATTGTTCCCAACCCTGGTCCTGGAGGCACCCCAACACTGCACGTTTTGCATGTCTCCTTAATCAAACACACCTGATTCAGGTCATCAGCTCATTAGTAGAGACTTCAAGACCTGAAATTGGTGCGTCAGAGAAAGGAGACATGCAAAATGTGCAGTGTTGGGGTGCCTCCAGGACCCGGGTTGGGAACCACTGGTACTCTACAGTATCAGTTGAAGTATCACTGAAGTGTGTGAAGCCAAAGGAGACTCGTCACGTATTTACAGACAGTATCTTTCCAATTCTTCGCTAACTTGATGTTTAAGTATCTTAAATGTCTGTAGCTTTGTAGCTGTCAGGGACTAACCCCACTTTCTTTGTGTTTCCCGTTTGTGTTTTTAGGGCAAGAAAAGATTGTATCATATCAGTTATTTTTCATAAGAATGTACCGCATGCACTTTTTTTTTTTCATTCAGTACTGTTATATTGACATTGACTAGTTCAACCTTGTAAATGAATCATATTTGTTTGACTAGGAATGTGAAAATTGCACTAATTTTAGTTGAAGGCACTTAACCTGTGTAGCCCTGTAAGTAAAGTGTGTTTTCTTGAACCGGACGGACGTGGCTTCAAGGATTCTGTGAATGTGAAAATGACTTGAGCTACTGTTTGTCTAAACTAAAACATGCTTGCTTTGAATTTGCTTCAGGCTCAAATAGCTTTTTTATATGATGGCGCCATTGAAATCCTGCCCACAGCTCCTTAAATAATATAAAAAATGAGAAAAAAATGAAAACAGGAGCAGTCAATAGTTATGCGAGAATGACAGGAATAGCTCGACACAAAATGAAGGATGTATGTATGCTATTGCGATGGCAGGGGTTTTATGAGGAAGCTCTTTATAAATGATGTAAAAATCCACCCCAATATAATTGTACGTAGTGATTTTCATGGAGGAATGATATGATGTCCAGAACTAGATGTTAGCTATTGAAACCGCCCAGCCATGTGTTGTATATTGACCTTTGTCTGTTCTTATGACGGTGCTGCTTCATATTGTGCTTCTGCTCCTGTGGACTTTAAAAACGCTTTCCTCTCTGCTTCCCTTCCATCCTGTTTCTGAGTAGCATGCGTCACTGTTCTAAGTGTCTCGAGTAACTGTACTGACATGCATCACATAACCTGTAGCACAACAGACATAATTTTCCATGAAGACGTCTTTCCTTTTATAGATTTATAAAAGGATTGTGTATTTAACATGTGCAGCAATAAGATTTGAATACAAGATCTATGTCTATGTAGAATAAATATATGCACATGTATGGATTATAAGTGCATTTGTGGTCTTAAATAAATGATGGAATTCAACTGTACAGTTGTTGTTTTTGTTTTGTTTGTAAATATATTAGTGATCTGGCAATGATTTAATCATGCCACTGTTGTAATCTGAATCTCACAGTCAAATATCAAATAGCCGAATAAAATGCATTTTCCATGAATACAGTATAAAACAGACCTTGCAGGTCCATTTTTATTCTTTTTTAACCGCTAGGAAAAAAAATTCAAAAGCAAGTCAAATTAAATGTTTTATTTATTTAATAAATTTGCACACTTTTAACTCTTGTTACCACAATTTGGGACACATACAACCTAAAATCCTGATTTATGTGATTTGTTATTTTCCAGCTACAAACTTTAAATCACCTTTAAATCTCAATAAACATTTTAACGAAATCCTAGACTAAAGGTTAAAAAAAAGAGTAACAGGGTTGATATTTTTTCTAAATTAATCTGCGACTCAGTAGAGAATAGTTAGTTTGGGGTTCAATGTTGCTTTTTAGTTATTTCCGAACATGATTTATAATAAAATACTTGATTGCTCATTTTTCTCACAATAACTTGAGTAACTGAGCTGAATATTTGAGCTTGACTTGATTTAGTCAACAATTTGTACATAATCTACGAAAATGAAATTATTTACTTATTACTATTACGTATTAATTACTAAATGATTTACTTCATCCTGTCATGCTGTAGAAAAAATATAATTTAAAGCAAGACACCCCAGGTCAAGAGTAAAAAAAGTTACAAATGTTATGTTTAAATATGCAAATGAGGCATTAGCTAAATAAATATGCAATAACTCATTTCCAGAACAAACATTTGAACATTGGATAAAGCCAGGTTTAAAACTCGTTTTATTTTGTGGAAATATTAAGGTTATTACAGACTGGATTTTGGAACTCTTTTTTATCATTCTATAAATCAGAAAATACTGTTAACAGCCACAAAAACAATACACTTTGGAATAAAATGTTTGTATAAAATCAGACAAATGATATATGAACAAAGCCCTCTATATTAAAAAGCTTCAGAAAATACAGTAGATTGGAATAAATCGACAAGTTGTGGATAAAATAGATAAAGTGCTTTTTGATGTTAAAGTCCAAACAGTCCAAAATCTCAAGAATGACCAATGCATGACGTGCAAATGTGGCATCTTGCCTCAAAATCACAAATATGCAAATATGTGACTCGCATATCTACGTCCATGCCGATAAACTTCTGTTGAGCTCGATACAGACACTGTTTGGAGGAATTTTGACCCACATTCCAAGTCCTTTTCTGTTTTAAATCTCATCCAGACTAGAAGGCAGACTGCTAAACTCATAAATGTATAGCATATCTAGCAGTCTGCTATAGACTAATTATAATCT